ACCCATCTTTGCAACGTCAGCCATGGTTCTCAAGCCTGCTGCACGTCAGGATCACCAGTGGGGCTTATAAACAATCAGGATACCAGGCTCCTCCCCAGACCAATTCAGTCCGGTCTGGGAAAGGACCAGGCTTCAGAATTTTTTTTTTTTTTTTTTTAATTTTAGAGAGAGAGAGAGCTAACTAGTCTGAGTGGGGGAGAAGGGCAGAAGGAGAGAGAGAAAGAGAGAAAGAAAGAGAAAATCTCAAGCAGGCTCCATGCTCAGCGCAGAGGCTGTCATGGGGCTTGAGCCCATGACCCTGGGATCATGAACTGAGCTGAAATCAAGAGTCAGACCCAGGTGCCCCTTCAGTATTTCTTAAAGGTATGTAGGTGGGGTGTCTGGCTGGCTCAGTTGGTAGAGCATGTGACTCTTGATCTTGGGGTCATGAGTTCAAGCCCCATGTTGAGTATAAAGATCACCTAAAAGTAAAATCTAAAAAAAAAAAAAAAAAAAAAAAAGATATGTAGGTACTTTTATTTTTATTTTTTTTTTCAACGTTTATTTATTTTTGGGACAGAGAGAGACAGAGCATGAACGGGGGAGGGGCAGAGAGAGAGGAAGACACAGAATCGGAAACAGGCTCCAGGCTCTGAGCCATCAGCCCAGAGCCTGACGCGGCGCTCGAACTCACGGACCGCAAGATCGTGACCTGGCTGAAGTCGGACGCTTAACCGACTGCGCCACCCAGGCGCCCCAGATACGTAGGTACTTTTAATGTGCAACTAAAGTTAAGAACCACGGAGGAAGAGAAGCTGTAAATTGGTAAATACTGGACATTCCTCCTATAAAATTTCCATAAAGGAAAAAGAGTAATCTATTCAGGTAATCTATTCTGTACTCTTCCAGAGACCTTTTCCCACCTTCCAGAGGGGAAAGTGGCAAGTGTTGCCAAGAATATAAGAAGTCTAAATTACTTCCTGTGTTACTCTGTGTAAGAGGCTGAATGTGTTGAGAAAAGACACATGTGCACACACACAAAATCAGATTGGTCCCTGGTAGTTTCAATCTGATTTTGATGTTAGGTGTTTGCTGAAAACTTTCTTACATATTTTCTCATTTAATTCTCTCAAGAACTTGTTAAAATGAGTATTTTTTTTCTTGGGCACCTGGGTGGCTCAGTTGGTTGAGGTCCGACTCTTGATTTCAGCTCAGGTCATGATCCCAGGGTTGTGGGATCAAGCCCCCATGTCAGGCTCCAAACTCAGTGTGGAGATTCTCTCTTCTCTCTCCCTTTGCCCCTCTCCCCCATTCACACTTGCTGGCTTTCTCTCCCTCTCTCTCTAAAATAAAATAAAATAAAATTTTAAATGAGCATTTTTTTCTTCCCGTGAGTGATAATACTCCCCTAAGAACACAAAGTCCTAGAATATCATAGTTGCCCCCTCAGACCCTGCTTTTCCTTTCATCTTTTTTTTTTTTTAATGTTTACTTATTTTTTTTTTTTTCAACGTTTTTTATTTATTTTTGGGACAGAGAGAAACAGAGCATGAATGGGGGAGGGGTAGAGAGAGAGGGAGACACAGCATCGGAAACAGGCTCCAGGCTCCGAGCCATCAGCCCAGAGCCCGACGCGGGGCTCGAACTCACGGACCGCAAGATCGTGACCTGGCTGAAGTCGGACGCTTAACCGACTGCGCCACCCAGGCGCCCCTAATGTTTACTTATTTTTGAGACAGAGAGAGAGAGATTGGGATGAGGGAGGGGCAGAGAGAGAAGGAGAGAAAGAGAGAATCCCAAGCAGGCTCCATCCACACTGTTAGTGTGGAGCCCGACTTGGGGCTTGAACTCACAAACCACAAGATCATGATCCAAGCTGAAATCAAGCCACCCAGGCACCCCTCCTTTCATCTTTTTGCTTAAATCTTACATTACCAGAATCATCTTCCTTTTCAGCTTGCTATCTTTTTAAAAACTTCTCAAACTAATTCCCGTGGATAGCAGCTCAGCCTTCATCATGCTACATGCATTACTGATAAAAAATTCAGTTATTAAAAAGATCAAGTTCTGGGCCATCTGGCTGGCTGATTTAGAAGAGCATGCGACTCTTGATCTCGGGGTTGTGAGTTCAAGCCCTACATTGGGTGTAGGGGTTTACTAAAAATAAATAAATAAACCTAAAAACAAAAAAAGATCAAGTTTGCTTCTGGCAGTGGTTGACTGGTGGTTCTGACTCTGACTGAAAACAATTAGAAATAGAAATACTATGAAAAGAGTGAAAGGGAAGCCACAGGTAAGAAATAATACTTGCAAGGCATCCAACAGACAAAAGAGCTCATAACCAGAATATATACAACTCCTGTAACTCACTAAGAAAAAGACTGACAACGTGATAATAAATTGGCAAGAGACTTCACAAAAGGGATTCTTGAAATAGTAAACATATGAAAAGACTCAACCTCATTAATATTCAAAGAAATAAAAACTCAAGCCGCAGTGGGCACACCTTCCACACCCAACACAATGGCCCAAATTGGAAAGACTGACGATACCAAGTGATGGCAAAGAGCTGCAACTTTCACACCCGGCTGGTAAGAGCGTAAATTGGTGCAACCACTTTGGAAAATGGTTTGGCAGCGTCTCTTAAAGTCGAATATGCGTACACAACGTAGCAATTTCACTCCTAGAGACACCCACAGAAATGCACCCCCGTGTACCCAAAGACATGTTGAAGAGTGTTTATAGCAGGGGCTCCTGGGTGGCTCAGTCTGTTAAGTGTCCGACTCGTGATTTCAGCTCCGATCATGATCTCACAGGATGAGCCCTGGTCAGCCTCCACAATGGGCATGGACCTGCTTGGGATTCTCTTTCTCCCCCTCTCTCTCTGCCCCTCCCCTGCTGGCTTGCTCGCATGTGCGTGCACTTTCTCTCTCTCTCTCTCTCTCAAAAAAAATGTTTATAGCACTGTTATTTATAAGTAACTCTAAACTGGAAACCTAAATGTCCTTCAGTAGAATGGGTAAGTAAATTATGATATAGTCATACGATGGAATACTATATAACAATAAAAGTGGAAAAACTATGGCTGCACCCAATAGATGTGTAAATGTGACCAATGCAATGTTGTACAAAATCAGACGCGTGTTTAAAATTGCCCAAATCAGGCAAAACTAATCTAGGCCATAAGAAGACAAAAATGGTTGCTACTCTAGTAATAGAGAGAGAGAGAGAGAATGACTGCAAAGGGGAAAGAAAGGATGATATATTTCTTGCCCTGCGTTGTCATTACCTAGGTGTGTTCACTTTGTGATAATTCATTGAGCTATATACCATTTTTACGCAATTCAATAAAAAAGCTAAAAAAAAAATAGGATATTAAAAAAATAGTTTTATGAAAATTAAGTCTTCCTTGTGTTTTTCGCCTCAGTGGGAGAGTTTTCATGGATGACACAAACCTGGTAGTTCTCCTCCAACTTCATTGTACAGATGACTCACCTGGGTTTCTTGTTCGTTTAAAAAAAATTTTTTTTAATGTTTTTATTTATTTTCAAGAGAGAGAGTCACAGAGTGCAAGCAGGGGAGGGGCAGAGAGTGAGGGAGACACAGAATCGGAAACAGGCTTCAGGCTCTGAGCTGTCAGCACAGAGCCCGACGCGGGGCCCGAACCCACAAGTGGTGAGATCATGACCTTAGCTGAAAGTCGGACGCTCAGCAGACTGAGCCACCCAGGCACCCCATCCCCTGGGCTTCTTTTTAAAATGCAGACTAATAGTTATTAATTATTGTTAATAAAAGTATTCTGGGGTAGGGCCCAAGATACTTACATTTTTAGCAAGTTCCCAGGTGATGCCCATACTTTGAGTAGCAAGGACCTAGGGCAGTGCTTCCCAAAACATTTTCCACAGATAGTGATGTTTTGAATTAACAGATGTTGTTAGCACTGCTAACATTTAATCGAAATTTCCTTTTAAAATATTATACTTTTAGGTCACTCCTCTCACTTTGTCATAATTTGCCTTTAAAAATAAGTGTGCCACACCTGAGAATAGTAAACTCAATAAACAATAAGGCTCAATAAACATACCTGTGTGCCTGACGCTGTGGTGCTACCTCATTTAATCCAGAAGAATATGCCAGGAAGTGGCAGGAAAGACCACCTGATGATGAACACACACATTTGGCACCTCGTGTATACACGGCACTTAGCAACTGGCATCTCTATGATGGCTGGTCTATCGCAGGGGCTGGCTAACTTTTTCTGTAAAAAGCCACGCGGTATCTAGGCTTTGCAGACCATAGGGTTTCTGTCACAACTGCTGGGCTCTGCCATCATAACCTGAAAGTCATCATCAATAAATGGGCATAATGTAAATAAATATCAGTGTAAATCTCGGGCATGACTGTGGTTCACAAAACTTCATTGACAAAACAGGTGACAAGCCAGTTTCCAACCTCTGGTCTACTGAATCTTCCTCAATCAATGGTATATATGTCTTGAAACTCCCACATATTTTATCTTAGACTAGATTTTAAAATCTCTATTTCCTATTAAAATTTCAAAGATGAGTTGTAACTTTTTAAAACAAATAATTCATGTGCATATGGTATCTCAAGAATGATTTTAGTGTTGTGAATGGTCACTCATAGTCAAATATGTTTAAGAATGATCATCCAAGGACAAAGAGAGTCCTCAAATGATATGGGGAGTCATAATTCCAGGGAGTTAAGTCTGAGTATAAAATTGCATTCTTGAGCCACACACTTCCTAGGCCACTAGCCAAACTGCCCTACGTTTTCTCAGGACTGGCAACCATCAATCGTTATACTACTAAGTTGGTGTATAAACTGCATAGAAATAATGTATCTGAATTTAGATTCCCATGATTGGCTGAAGATCGAAGTCCATACCATGAGGCTGTCAAAGATAAGTTAAGCCGGGCTTTAAAGTGATGAAGACAGATTTTGTTCACTACTGAGAGCCAGGCAAAGAGCTGATGATGGCAGAAATGACGATGTAGGTCCAGGAACTACCAGCTATGGTTTTCATGCAGGAACCACAATGCCAGATCCCCACAGCTCATCTTTTCATCTTGGTTTTGCACAGAAGAAGCAAATGTACTTGGTGTGCTGGCTTTTTTCCATCTTCTTCACCATTTTCCTGAGGGAGGCACCGTAATGGGTCCCGTATTTACGGACAATTCTGACCTCCTTGGTGGGTTTAGCCATGTTGCTGCAAACAAGGTCTGAGCCCAGAAAGCTCGATTTTAACAGCCTTGGGGCACCTGGGTGGCTCCGTTGTTTGAGCGTCTGACTTCAGCTCAGGTCATGATCTCATGGTTCATGAGATCAAGCCGCATATCGGGTTCACTGCTGTCAGTGTGGAGTTCGCTCCGGATTCTCTGTCCATCTCCCTCTCTGCCCTCCTCTGCTCCTGCTCTTTCTCAAAAATAAATAAACGTTAAAAATAAAGAGTATTTGTTAAGTACTTGCTAAATGACTTCTAGCACATACAGATATAGCCTTCTGTGATAAAAAAAAATAAAATTTTAAACTTGTAAAATAGACTGAAAGTGATTATTCTAAGTATTGAAACATATCATTCCCTTTACAAAAAAGACTTCACAGCAGGATTTCTTTGGCTAATAATCTCCTATAGGGTATTTAGAATAATTGTAACACACTTGCCTTACAAACCATTTTGAGTACTACTTACAGAATTTCAAGTTGTCCCTAAAATCTCTTCCTATCAGCCATTTCATCAAGTGGAACTATTAACACTTGGTTTCTAATGTTAACTTTAATAAAATATTTCCATTATCAACTCTAACTCACCATACCTTACATTTGTCAAAAGCTGCCCCAAAATATTCTCCAAAATATGACCTTTTGCTACAAGAACAAGTGCATCTACTCCATAGCAGGAAAATAAATATTTTGTTGTTTTTTAAAAATATGCAGTAGAGGGGCATCTGGGTGGCTCAGTCGGTTGAGCATCTGACTCTTGATTTTGGCTTAGGTCGTGATTCCAGGGTCGTGGGATTGAGCCCACGGCAGGCTCTGCACTGAGTATGGAGCCTGCTTAAGATTCTCCCTCTGCTCTTCTCCCCCACTTGTTCTCTCTCTAAACACACACACACACACACACACACACACACACACACACACCAAAAGCAAACAACGAAACAAACGCACTAGAAGCCCTCACTTGGTATTGTCAGTATTTCTCATTTTAGTTCTTCTAGTCTGCATGGAATTGTATCTCATTTTGGTTGTTTCAAAAATATGTCTTCCAGCTTTTTATTGATATAGAACATTTCCATTTCTCTTAAAAGTTTTATGTCCTTTGATCTTACCTCCTAATTACAGCCTTCAGGCACTCACTGATCTTCTCCCTGTAGTTTTGCTTTGCCTATCAGTATTAATTTGCATTTCCCTGAGGACTAATGGTGTTGGGTGTCTTTTCATGTACAAATTGACCATTGACTACATCTCCTTTAGTGAAGAATCTATTTGACTCTTTTACCAGAATTTTATCTTCTGATTTTAACAGTTTCTTATGTAGTCTTTTTTTTTTTAAGATTCTATTTTTAGGTAATCAGTACACCCCATGTGGGTCTTGAACTCACAACCTGGATATCAAGAGTCATAGGCTCCACTGACTGAGCCAGCCAGGCGCTCTTCTTATGTATTCTTATATACAAGTACTTTGTCTGACTTCAAGTGTTGCAAATACTTCCTCCCAGTCAGTCGCTTTTTATTTTCTTTATGTGTATCTTTTAAACAGAAGACGTTTTCAAACTTGAAAAGCTTCGATTTGTCCATTTTCTTTGATGGTTAGTGCCTTTTGCACTCTAAGAAAGTTTTGTCTACCAAACTTCAAAAATATTTTCTTCTATGTTGCCTCATAGAAGTTTTATATTTTTAGTTTTTGTTTAAATCTTTTTTGAGTTAATTTTGTATATACTGTGGGGTAAGATTTGAGGTTCAATTTTTTCCCCCATAAAGATATCTAATTGTTCAACCATTGTTGAAAAGACAGTTTTTCTCCCATTGGATTTCCATGGCATTTTTGTCAAATCATTTGAAATCAACCTGGGGATCTACTTGTACACTCTCTATTCTCCTCCATTGATATCTAGGTCTATCCTTAGCCAAATACCACACTATCTTGATTACTATAGTTTTATGTAAGATTTGCTATCAGAGAGAAAAACTTTGTTCTTCTTTTCCAGAATTATTTTAGCTATTCAAGATTCTTTGCTATGTCCATGTAAACTTCAAAATCAATTCCTAAATATCTGCCCAAAAAGCCTGCTGGGATTTTGGTAAGCATTGCTTAGAATCAATGGGGGAGAACAGATACCTTAAAAATACTGTCTTAGAGGGGTATCTGGGTGGCTCAGTCGGTTAAGTGTCTGACTTCAGCTAAGGTCATGGTCTTGTGGTCCGTTGAGTTTGAGCCCTGCGTTGGGCTCTGTGCTGACAGCTCAGAGCCTGGAGCCTGAGGATTTTGTTTTGTATTCTGTGTCTCCCTCTCTCTCTGCCCTCCCCTGCTCACACACTCTCTGTCTCAAAAATACACAAAACAAAACAAAGCAGTCTTACTGGGGGCACCTGGGTGACTCAGTTAAGTGTCCAACTCTTGGTTTCAGCTCAGGTCATGATCTTGGGTTAGTGAGTTTGAGCCCAGCATTAGGCTCCACAGGACAGCATGGACCATGCTTGGGATTCTTTCTTTACCTTTCCCTCTGCTTCTCCCTGGCTGTGCTCTCTCTCTCAAAATGAGAGAGAGCTCATCCAGGGGCTCCTGGATGGCTCAATCGATTAAGTGTTTGATTCTTGATTTTGGTTCATGGTATTGAGCCCCATGTTGGGCTCTGAGCTGACAGCATGGAGCCTACTTGGGGTTCTCTTTCTCCCTCTTTCAAAATAAACCAACTTAAAAATATATATACTGTCTTCCAATCCTTGGATGTGACACATATATTCTTTAAGTCTTTTAAACATTTCTTGCAGTAATGTTTTGAAGTTTTCAGTGTACAGGTTTTCATATTTAAAAAAATTTACCCCTGGGCATCTGGGTGGTTCAGTTGGTTAAGTGTCCAACTTCGGCTCAGGTCACCAGTTTGCGAGTTCAAGCCCTGAATCAGGCTCTGTGCTGACAGCTCAGAGCCTGGAGCCTGCTTCCTATTCTGTGTCTCCCTTTTTCTCTCTCTGCCCCTCACTCACTCATGCTGTCTCTAAGAAGTAATAAACGTTAAACAATTAAAAAAAAAAAACTTTCTTAAAAATAAATGAATAAATTTACTCCTAATGATTTTTTTCAAAAAAATTTTTTTAAGTTTATTTGAGAGAGAGCAAGCACACAAGCTGGGGAGGGGCAGAGAGAAGAGAGAATCCCAAGCATGGTCCACTGTGCCACCAACGCAGAGCCCAATGTGGGGCTTGAACTCATAAACTATGAGATGATGAACTGCGCTGAGATCAAGAGTCAGACACTTAACCAACTGAACCACCCCGGTGCCCTGATACACAATTGATTTAATGTTGATTTATCTCCTGCAACCTTTTAAATTAGTAGTAGTAGCTTTTTTTTTTTTTTTTTTTTTTTTGGCCCTTAGGAATTTTTTTTTTTTGTATGTGCTAATCTGTGACTAGACAGTTGTACCGCATCCTTTCCAATCTACTTCACCAACTAAAACCTCAAATACAAGTATGAATAGTAGTAAAAGCATACATCCTCATCTTGGTGCAGGTCTTGGGGTGGGGTGGTGGAGTGTTCAATATTATATCCTTAAATATGATGTTACCAGTAGGTATTCTATAAGTTTCCTTTATTACATTGAAAAAGTTCCCTTCTATTCATTTGCTGAGAGCTTTTATGATGAACCTTGCAAAATGTTTTTACTGAACTTTTTAAATGTTTTTTCCTTCAATTTTGTTTCTATGGTAAATAATACTAATTGATTTTCAAATATTATACTTACCTTGCATTCCTGAGAAAACCTCACTTTGTCATCAAATAAGGTTTGTATATTTGAAAATCAACTGTATAAAAATTCCTTTTTATACATTGCTGGATTCAAATTGTTAATATTTTGTTAATAGGGTTTCTTCCTGTTTTCTAAAATGTTACGTAAGATGGTATAATTTTATACTAAAATGTTTGATAGAATTCACTAAAGAAGACATCTGAGCCTAGAATTTTCTGTGTGGGAAGAACAGTAATTCAATTTCTTAAACAGATACAGGGATAGTCAAACTTTCTATTTCTTTTCATGTCTGTTTTGGTAATTTGTGTCTTTCAAGAAATTTATCTATCTCATTTGTCAAGTTTACCAGCATACTGTATCTAAACAAATACAAAGGGGACAAAGGCCAGGGCTTCCTTTGGGTCAGGCCAAATTCCTTACTACACACTGACTTTGTTATATACTTGGCGACAAACTGAGGGGTAAGTTACGAGTCGTGATGTCTGCAACCTACTTAAAAGAGGGAGGGAGCAATACATAGCAGGCATAAGACTGGTGAATATGGGGTAACGATACATGAGAATTTATTGTATTATTTTCACAACTTTTTCTATAGATAAAAAATTTTTGAAAAAGATTAATATTCATATTCTATAACCCAGCAATTTAAAGAAATAATCAGGAAATCACACACATATTCAGCACAAGGATCATGGATCAAAGTTTGAAAACACCTTCAACATCCTACAAAGAGGATTTAATAAACTACAGTACAGGACACCAAACCCTCAACAAAAAAACCAAGATCACATTTTTCCCTCAGAAGTATCTATGTGGAACAATTTCATTATAAACTATTGAAGGAAAAAGTTGTGACACTGAATATATGACGCCCTCCTCTACGCACAGAAAAAAGACTGCAAAAAATGATCTAAATGTGGTGGGGCCACAGGTGAACTACTCTTCACACCCCTTTTCTGAATTTCTTGAAGAATTCCAGATACTCTCATCACTCCAGGGACACCAGGAGAGCCTGAAATGATTTCAGGGTTTAGCAGGCCAGGAGGCATGGGTCTGGATCAACCCTGATAGGTAGACCCTGCAGGCAGTAGTTAATATTGGCCACAAGGTGGCCCAGCAGAGTGGAAACCATGGTGGACTGGACTGGGGCCTCAACTGTGAGGTCTGGTCTCAGTCTCTCCAAAACAGGCAAAGGTTGGGATAGTAAGTAAGAAGGTGCATGTGAAAATGGTGAGGTTTCATATAAAT